TGTGAGGGTTGGGAGCAGGTGAGTGATGTTTCTTTTTTTTTTTTTTTACTTTTTTTTTTTATTGCTTAAAGTATTACAAAGGGTATTACATATGTGTCCTTTTTTTTCCCCCCGCCCTTGACAATCCCCTGGCCTCCCTTACCCCCCAGTGCCTTATGTCCATTGGTTATGCTTATATGCATGCATACAAGTCCTTTGGTGCTGTGAGGGGTTGGGAGCAGGTGAGTGATGTTTCTTTAGCAGAAGCCCAGATGCCATTCAGAAAAAGGAGGCCTTTTCCTGGGAATCTGGGTCATTCCCAGCCCGGGGTCAGGTCAGGACCAAGGCGGGCTGAGGTACCTGCACATCGACCTGAACAGAAGCCTGTTCTCATTCCTCCCTCCCTGGGGGCAGCCCACCCGCATCTGCCCCACACAGTCCTTGTGCAGGGCCTGCAGAACCCGCTGGAACGCCAGTGCGGCTTACCTTCTGGAGTCCAGAAACCCCATGGAGTAGAGCGAGATCTCTCCAATGAGGGCGTAGTCCGGCACCATCATGGCCACTGTCCGGAACAAGGCCTGGAAAAGGAACAGCTATTCAGGAGCCGAGTGCACACAGGGTGTGCTGGGAGGCCTGTCTGCAGAGGCAAAGAGAAGTAGCACGACCTGACAATCAAGAAGAAGTGCGCTGGAGGACAAGTCAATGCCGAGGGACCGCCTCCGCCCGCTGCCCCACTACCCAGCCTGTCCAGGTACATGCTGTCACACTGGGCCCCCCAGTCATTCAGAGTCCCGGGTGCCGGTCCAATCAGGCTTCAGTCCCTTGTGGAGCTTCCCGCAGGGCTCACTTAGAATGCAGGCTGGTATGTGAGGAGCCTCCTGAGGCAGAGCAGTCCGACCAAGTCCCTGTTCTGTCACCTTCCAGCTGTGCACAGGTTATGCATCCCTGCTGGACCTCGGTTCCTTCGTCTCCAAATGGGCTGACACCTGTACTCCCTTCATGGTTGTCATGAGAACAGCTGATGCAGGTGAGTGAGGTGCATACTTAGGAAAGTGTGCAGCATCTAGTGAGTCCTCATACACATCAGCTGTTGCTCTTATTCCCTTAGATCTCAGAGGGGAAGTGACTCGCCAAAGCCATGCCGTTCGAGGTGGAGCCGGACTGGAAAGAGCCCTGGCTTCCAGCCGCCAAGCCTGGTGCTTTCTGCTAGTCCAGTGGTTCTCAACCTTCCTAATGCCGCGACCCTTTAATACAGTTCCTCATGTTGTGGTGACCCGACCATAAAATTATTTTCGTTGCTACTTCATAACTGTAATTTTGCTACTGTTATGAATCATAATGTAAATATCTGATATGCAGGATGTATTTTCATTGTTCGCGACCCACAGGTTGAGAACCGCTATGCTAGACCCTCGCTCACAGAAGTTTCTTGTGCAGATTGAATGTGGTTGTTGGCTGGAGAGGTGCAGGGGGGAGTTACAGCAACTGGGTGGTGGAAAGAAGAAAGTTGGCCTGAGGGTTGGAACGTTGTCCTGCACACCAAAAGGTGGCGGGTCTGATCCCCGTCGGGACACATACCCAGGCTGCAGGTTCGATCCGGTCGGGGTGTGTGCAAGAGGCAGCCGATAGATGTCTCTCTCGCATCAATATTTCCCTCTCTCTTTCCCTTCCTCTCTCTAAAAAAAAATTTTCAATAAAATTTTAAAAAATATACGAAATGTGAGTCCAACTTCTACTA